ACGCATAGCAAAGAAGAAGTGCTCTTCAATAGTTCTTGCAGCTTTGGACGACATCATGTGTAAGGTTTCCACTCTGAATATGAAAAAAAATTGCATAAGTGCAAGAAATTGAAACGTGATTAGATAACCAGCTTTAAAAAATCAGCAATAACTTCCAACAAATTTTTGAGACTTAGAAGAAGTTTTTTTTCCATTTTACGTCCATTTATCCATCGACTTTAGCTAAAAAAAACTACTTAAAACTTCATTTTCCATTATGTAATTGTTCACTTCAATTGAATCGGGTTTGTTCAGGGCTCCTCAACATTCGCGGGTTCGATATCAAACATAATCCTTTAGCTTACTCATATTTACTGATAACACCTGAAGAAGTACATCTTTTTATGGATAAAGCTGATGACAAGGTAATATCTTTCTTGAACCCGAATTTTGTGGCCATCTTATCATTGTTCAGATGCAAATGTATCTCAAGGAAAAACGGGTAACTCTACATCCTTATGATGAAGCATACACATTTATCTCCAATTGGAACAACGAACAAAAAACCGCAAATAAAGCAAAGCATAGAGTAGGTGAAGTTTTACATCTTCAGGCAAATGCAAAGTCTAATTAATTTTTGTCAAGGTTTTCGTGCCTACTTCAACAAACTACCTATTTGGAAGTATTTTTGACCACGTTTCTGTGATAGATGCTAGCCCGGTACAAGTAATGAAAGGTGTGAAAAATCCGGTTGAGCTGAATGGAATGCGACAGAGTCATGTATGTGCTCTCAATCTATCAATTTTACTCTTTTAAAGTTTACTCAGAAAAAAAGGATACGTTGTAGATCCGCGATAGCGCCGGGTTGGTGAGCTTCTTAATGCAGCTGGAAGAAGATCTGCTCGCCGGACGTACGATGACAGAAATTGAAGCAGCAGAAAAGATTAATAACTTGAGATCTACATTGGATAAATATGTGGATTTGAGGTGAGCCATTATAGAGATTTCTCTAAAAAGTTCTGAAACTAGATTTCTAGTGTTTGTACTACTCTTTCCTCATTTCCAACCTTTTAATTCATAATCATCTTAGAAGATCTGAAAAAACATAACAAACCAACATTAAAAATAACATAGTTGTTAATTTAGCTTTTCTACGATATCTGCATCCGGTGATCATGCTGCCAAACCTCA